TTCTTAGTTTCTTTTTTAGTTTTTCTCAATTGTTATGAAAAGTACTGGAAAATCTCAACTACCAAATAAATTAAATTTGATTCAGTGAATAACCTTAAATTTTAAAATCTAAGCAACTCTACCTRCTCTTAAATGTGATGACTGATGATGTACAAAAAAAACAACGTTCTACTCAGAATTTAAAAGTCATTAGAATGTTCTAGTCAACGTTACTTTTAAGTTTCGAAAATTGGTCATTCAGTAAGTTAAGTATGGCTCATCCCTGTTATGCACCTAACTACAAAATTAAAAACATTTTTATTCACGTGTACCTAAAAATTAACATTGATTCGAAATATTTTCAATTCTTAGTTTATTTATATGAATTAGAAAGGTATTATACCTTAGGTATATAATAGGTATACTGTATACATTTAAAAATAAAAATAATTATCCTGTAAGTCGTATAACTATATTGTTTTAATATAATACAATATCATAAAAATATTCATCTAGACACAAAAATATCATTGTGACTGCAGAACAATACAATAAATTTCAATTTAGAAAGGGATATAATAAGGTACAATAAGGAACATTTAAATTTACAAAATAATTTAACAACGAGTGATTCATTTAACACAAAAATTTATTATTTACAAAAATATATGTACAATATAATATATTTAAATAAAAATAGGATACTCTTTTCGAAGTATGAATAGACATTTTGGAATTTCGCTTTTCTTCAATAATTGTATTCTATTTTACTCATAACTCATTAAATAAAAACACGGATCTAAATCTACATGGACAATAATATTATGGTAACATATTGAGGCAAGTCAAAATTTAATAAAATAAATAAACAAACAAAAATGAAAGTATAATATATAATATAATATAATATAACAACTGTGTATAGTAATATTTTGGTCGGTTTTGATTTCGGGGGTGGGTGAAAAATACGTAATTTATAAATAAAAAGACTAGTATATGAGCATGATGTTTAAAATAATATATCATATAACGTAATATATACCTAACATATTACATTCACTGGTTGGCGTACAAAAGCTATAAAATAATAAATAAGTAAAAAAAAAAAATGGGACACAATACTATAATATCATATGAATTTGGATTCGATGAGTATGGTGGTGAATTATTAACGGYGAACGGATACGGTGGTTGTGATGAAGTCATTTACAGAGGGGCGGGGAAAATGTATGGCAATCTCAGACAACATTAAGAACGGAAAAAATCGATGGCTAAACTCGACAAACAAGATTATACCTATATCATAAGAGACATCATCACATATTTAACAAATTTCGCTAAAGTTTTATTWTATTTTTCTGGCAACATCCGTTTAGAACTAAATAACAGAAAAGATACATTTGTTTGCCATTTTGACTGCGAACATAATAATATATTATATTACGGAAAAGTTAACGGTACCCATATGTTAAATAAAAAATTCTCGTCACGTCCATAACGTTGGCATAATACCTAATATAATACTACATWATTATTATTACTRCGTTTATAACATGTATCCAATAAAATGGATCTTATGTCGTTTAAACGTTGAAATTACGTAAATGTAGGTAGGTATAGGTAGTATTATAGGTACCTAAATAATRTTTATCGATTTTGTTGGGGATCTYGTTCTACGTTTGTCTGTGGTCGAAGACTATACTTAATATTACCTAATGTAACTGTGATATTACGTAATAACATATTATATCCGTCTAAAGAGGATATACCATCGATGTATTTCTTTACGTATAACACATATAAAAATATTATAAAGATYGTTACCAGTCTATATAATATGAGCCCGTCATCTGCAGGATTGGTAGTTATTCAATTTGGCTATATATAATGTATTTGGTCGTCGAAAATGTATAATTTAAAAATACCTACTTACTATACGTACAACAATCGTAAGATAGAAATCATTTTTATTAAAAACAAAATTCGTTAAACGGGTAAACAACCTCGTTGGAAAAACGGACAATAGTAAAATAGTAATAATAATAATAATAATATATACGTAAATATATGCATATATATAAATATATATTAATAATAATAACTAGTAATAATAATAATAATAATAATATCTTTGGGCGACGCTATGTGTTTGTGTGTATGAGTATGTGTGTGTGTGTGTGTGTGTGTGTGTGATAGGTCTAGGCCGAGGCCTACCTGCACCCGCACCCGAGCACTTGCATATCCTGGTAGTTTTTGAGCACCACTTTGTTGTCCTCATCCAGATACAGCATCGATATGGACGCCAACTGAGTGGGCACGCAACACGCTTTGGGTACGGCTGCGGGGTTCATGGAGTTGACCAACGTCTGAACGATGGCATGGTTGGTGGAGTTTAGGTGTTCGGCAACCGGAAACGGACAGTCGCCGTGGCAGTAGTACGCGTCGTAGCCGGGCGGCGCGACGATCCAATCGTCCCAACCGACGTCGGTGAAATCCACGTAGAGCGGATGCCTCTGGCAGATGTCCCGGCCACCGCCGTCCTTCCGCCGTTTGCCACCGCCCCTGCCCTGTTGCTGTTGACCAGCCCCGGGCGAGCGTTTCCGCCGCGGCGGGCCGACGGGGCGGCTGTTCTTTCCGTCGTCCGAGTACACGAGCAGCGCAGGCCTATCGGTGGCCCGCAACTCAAACGTGTCGGGTATCGGGGCCCGGACGTCAGCGCT